TTCCCCAGAGTCTAGGCCTCACTATGGTGTCTATGGCCAGGTTGGCCCTGAATTCCCGGGCTGGAATCCTGGGCCCCAAATTCCTGACTCAGCCTCCTGAGCAGCTAGGACCACAGGTGCTCTCCAGGCCAGTAACTCTGCAGATGAGGAAAGTTTTGCTGCTGCACCCGGTCCTGTGCACAGATCCGCCACCAGCTGTGCGCCCACTCTGCTCTCAGACATTCTCTCCATCTCTGGCTCTTCCCAGGGGCGCTGCGCGGACTCTCACTACTCAGGTCTTCTGCTGGAACTTGTGTGGTCATTTCTCTTGATTATAGACCTGGAGTGAAATTCCTGGGCCCCAGTTAGATGTGTGCGCAGTTTTAGGGGATATTGCTGAAGGGTTTTCCAAAGTGGTGGGGGGCAGGTTTCAATGCTGTGACACCCTGAGCCACTCGGTCTGAACACTCTTGCCTCTTCCGCTCCAAGGAGTCCCTCATCACTCCTTCCGTGTGAATCACTCATTCTTTTAGCAAATTGTTGTTAAGAGCATCTTCTCTACCAGAAATCATTCTAGGCACTGGGGACACCAGGGTGGTCCCCAGAAAACAAGACTCACTAGCTGAGGGAACATGCCATCCACAGTCACACGCCACATGAGATTTTAGCTGAAGATGCATATGTGACTGCGGTCCCGTAAAATGGTGATGGAGCTGAAAAACTCCTGTCACCTAATGACGTAGCAGAAGCATGCCTCACGTGTGTGTGGTGACGCTGGAGTAAGGAAACCTGCGGTGCTGCCAGTTGTATAAAAGCATATCTATGGCAGGGCATGGTGGCCCACACCTGTAATCCCCCTGGCTCCAGAGGCTGAGGCAAGAGGATCATGAGTTCAAGGCCAGCCTCAGCAAGTTAGTGAGTCCCTAAAACCTCAGTAAGACCCTGTCTCTAAATAAAATATAAAAAAGGGCTGGGGTGTGGCTCAGTGGTTAAGTGCCTCTGAGTTCAATCCCTGGTACAAAGGAAAACAAGAGTGTGGTGATGCCACTCTGTCCAGGGCAGGAGGCTTAACCGTGACTGGGCACGCAGCGCCGAGGCGTGCTTCTCATCTTCATTTTAGAAGGTACCTCTCTACTTACAGAAGGAAAGCTTGGCTGTTGAGCAGTTGGGCATGTAATGTCTCCAGAGCATGATTGCACCATCCCGGCTTGTGGGACACACTGGGCCGTGTTCGCACAATGAGGAAATTGTCTAATGGAGGAATTCTCAGAACATGGCCCTGTGGTGAAGCAATGCATCATTGTAAGCAAATACAGCTATGCTAATTCATTTCAGGTAAGATAGCCATAATTAGGTGTCACTGATTGTTAATTGTTATCAGGGTTGCAGAGACAGGACGACCAGGAAGAGCCCGGGCAGCTGAGGACACCCACCGTGCCTCTGCTCCCAGAAACCCTGATCCTTTTCAGCAGACAAGTTTGTTCCTTAAAACTTATTTATTTGATGCTCAGAATGGAACCCAAGGCCTCCCCCATGCTAAGCACAAACCCTACCACGGAGCTCCAGCCTGTCCTCAGAGGGTTGTTTTTTCTAAACGGTTTTTGGTTGGTGCTTGTTATTCTTACTTTTTATTTTTATTTATTATCTTTTTATTCTCTGTGGTGCTGGGCTCAACCCAGGGCCTCACACATAGCTAGGCAAGCACCCTGCAGCCCCAATCCTTTTATTATTACTACTACTACAGCTATTATTTTGCAGTACCGGGAATTGAAACCAGGGCTTCTGTCTTTGGGCCACACCCCCAGCCCTTCTTATTTTTTATTTTGAGACAAAGCCTTGCTAAATTTCTGAGACTGGCTTTGAATTTGTCTCTCCTGCCTCAGTCTCCCAAGTTCCTGGGTCACTGGTGGGGGCCACCACGCCTGGCCAGGTCTCTGTAATGGATGCCTTGCCTTTGGTGTCTCTGGGAGGTCCCCCACCCTCCGTGCAGTCCTGCCCTCTCGTAGCTGTCTTCCAGGAAAACAGGCAGGTCCTCCCCCCTGTCTGGGCTGGCTGCTCTTCTTTCATGGGGTGACATAGCTGGGATGTCAACCAGCTCTGGGACACGGTTGCTTGACTCTGCTGGCTCGGGAGCGTGGGAGGGGCTGTCTGGAATGCATTCTGGCCTGTTTTCTATGAAAGAGGGGTAAGGACGACCTTCTGCTGTGGCAACACACACTGCGTGTGCTGAGATTTCCGGGTGTGGGTGCTCCTGCTCCTTGTGCAGCTGCCGATACCAAAATGCTCTGACCGACAGCCACATGGGGCCCCTCTGAGAGCCAGCAAAAAATCCTCCGTGCTGCCAGAGGAGATGGGTGGAGGAGTGCGGGGAGCCACGGTGGCTGGCCTCCCGGGCTCCTCTGCTTCCAACCAGGACAGTCCCTGTTGGTCAACTCGTCTGGTGCTTATCAGGTGCAGTGACCATGTCCACAGAGTCACATGTCCTTAACCACAGGACATGTACTGAGAAATGTGTCACGGGGTGATTTCATCATGTGTGAATGTGACAGACTCACCAACACAAACCCCTAGAGTTTCGCCTCCAGCACGCAGAGCTGCATGGTGTTTAGTGAAGCCTGTTGCTCCCGGGGCCATGGTGAGCCCAAGAAGATGGCACCATCAAGAGGCTCTGTGTGCTGTTTACGAGCCAGGGCTGGCCAGCAAGGGCTCCCCTCAACCCCCACGCTAAAACAACAATAAAAAGTACGGCAGAGTAAATACATAAACTAGCAGCCGGGTTTATGGTCCTCCTCCAGCATGACACACTGTGCCTAATTGTACCTGCTGCACTTAGTAAACCTGTAAACTGCAGGTCTGTTTACGTCTGCATCACCACCGGCACCTGAGCATGGGGTCCTCCGACGGCAGGAGGCTCCTCCAGGATGCAAGTTGTGCACGACTGCCACTATATACTCTGGATTTACAGAGTAACTGTGAAGATCGTGTAGAAAATTCACATATACTCCACATCCAATTTCCTTTATTAAGATCTTAGAATAGCATGTTGCATTTGTTACAATTAATGAACCAATACTGAGACATTATAATGAAAGAAAGTCCATCCTTTATTCAGATTGTCTAAGTTTTTACCCAGTGTCTTTTTTCTTTCCAGGATCCTATTCAGGACGGCACCTTACAAATGAATGTCTTTTCTTTCATCCCTAAGACCAGGGACAGGCTGGGGCAAGACTGGATGGTGATGGTTCCTGCTGACCTGGGGGCCCTGAGGATCCCTTGGCAAGGGCACTGAATCGCAGATTCCTTACCTTGAACTTTCATCCCACTCCCTTGTCTCACTTCGGTGTCCCTCCTGTCCCCTCTTGGGCTTCAATTCCCTCCTCTGTAAAATGAGAGCATTGGGTCAGCATCCCCAGGACAGGTGTCGTCCCAGGGTAAGAGCAGGGTGGCTGTTGGATTCCCATCCTGGGATCGAGAGCTGGCAGGCTTGGGGGCATCTCAGGGTAGACCTTCAAGTTCAGGGTGGGCTGGAGGCTCTGGCTTGGGAGGTTCTTGATGTTGGGAGTCGGAAGCAGAGTCCTGCCCAGCTTTGCAGCATAGTCCCCCGCTTTAGGCAAGGCCTTTCTCATCTCTGGGCCTTTGTCCCCACCTGTAAAGTGGCAGCTGTAGAACAGCTTCTGAGGCCCTCCTGGCTGGGAGTAGGGCAGACTTCCCGCAGAACAAGGAGCTTTCTGTCTCTGGAGGTGTGTGAGCTGGACCAGTCCTGTCGTCTATGTGGTATGGGGGCTGACCAGGGGCGCTGAGGGTCCACCCGCTGTTTGGGGCATCCAGCCTCTGGGCCCACCCTCTTCCCTAGCTGACCTGGGCTGTGGTGGATGCCTGTGTCCCCCTTCCTAGCTCAGGCTGGGACTGCCTTTGGCTCTGGGCAGAGGGAGGCCTGTCAAGCTGATGGCACTCCTGGGCTGGACTTCTGAGGAGCAGGGAAGCTGGCCATCACTGCCTTGTGGTAGCTCTGGCTGCTGGTGAGTGCAGAACCTGGCAGAGGCCAGACTTGAGTCTTCAGGTATGCCATGTACACCCTCCAAGCTCCAAAGGAGCAGAAGGAGAGGAGGGGAATCCCTGAGAAAGTAAAAATGAGGGTCTCTGTCTCCCCATCCCCCAAACTGACTCTTCACCTGGAGAATGTCTGGCTCTTCTTTGCTCGTGAGCCTGTGCATCTGCTGCTCCCTCTATCAATTTCTGCTTTTCTAACTGTTGAACTCCCACTCATCCCACAAGGCCCAATGCAAAAGCTCCTTCTACTGGATCCTAGCTACTCCGTGGCCTATCTTGTGACATGGTGCACATCACTTGGAATCACTTCCCTATCTGTGTCCCCATTGAGATTTCAAGTTCCCTGAGGCTGGGGTGGTCTGATTCACCTCCAGGAGGTTATTGTGTGAGGGGGTGGGTAGGGGAGGACACTCGCAGCCCACCTTTCCTAAGCTGCTTGTGGACACTGTTGTATGCTTTTGAGCTCTTTCCTCCCAAGTCCCCTCTTCCCTGCCCTGCGGGCACGATTACAGGATCCTCTGTGTGGACAGGGATAGCAGGAGTCAGAGACCCAAACGCAAATAGGTGTGAGCCAAGGACAGACCACCGCTTGGCCTTAAAGCCTGGCTACTAGTTCGGGCGAGCGAGGCGGGGAGAATGAGTGTGCGCTCCGAGGCGACGCGGCCCGAGGGCGGCAGCCGGCGTCACCCACCAGGAGTGATCCAGGGACGCTGGTGGGTCGTGTGCGCTCCGCAGCCTCCAGGGTGGACGCACAGCCCCATTTTCCGGCCAAAGAAACTGAGGCTCCGAGAGCCACCGCGGCCCGCCCAGGTGCGGAGCCACTCGGGCACCGCAGGAACCCGGGCTGCTCTCCCGGGTCCGCCACCGCGAGCCCCGCCCCTCCGGCGGCCCCGCCCGAAGTAGCCGGCGCCGCGCGGGCGCCGCGGCAGGTGGAGCAGATCGGAGCCGTGCGCTGCGCTCCCGGGCGCACGATGGGCAACTGCGCGGGCCGCAGCGACTTCGAGTGGGTCTACACCGACCAGCCGCACACGCAGCGGCGCAAGGAGATGCTGGGTGAGCGCGTTGCGGGCGCCTGCGGGTGGGGACAGCCCCGGGAGCCTGCCTGGGATCCCGTGCGAGCGGGGGGCCAGCCGCACTGCCACATCCTCGCCCCGGGGAGGTGCATCCCCACCGGGCTCCGCGGGGTCTCGGCCTGCGACTCTGACTCCGTCCTGGGAACTCGATTCTCGGTTGGAGCGCGGCTCAGCCTCGGGCGGGCAGCGTGGGGACGGCCAGCGGCGCAGTCTGCCTTGGTCTTTCGCCGGCAACCGGTGGCCACCCGCTGGGTGCGGTTGCCTAGGGTCCTGCGGCTGGCGAGAAGGCCCGCCGTGGACATCGGAGGGCGGGCAAGGAAGCAGCTGCGCAGCGAGAGATTCGGTCTCTTTGGTGGGCGCGGTGGGGGACCCCAAAGATTTTACCAAAGTATCCCGTCTGTTCCATCAGGTAGCTTAATACCTGGTGGCCGCCCAGGGTTCTGTGAGGTCTTTTTTTGGAGGGGGGGATTGAACCCAGGGTCGCTACACCACTCAGCCACATCTCCAGCCCTTTTAAATATTTTATTTAGAGAAGGGGTCTCACTGAATTGCTTAAGGCTCCGATAAATTGCTGAGTCTGGTTTTGAACTTGCAATCCTCCTGCCTCAGCCTCTTAAGCTGCTGGGATTACAGGCGTGCRCCACGGGGGGCCCAGCCTGTGGGGTCATTTTACTTGTGTGGACACCATTGTGTGGCTCATTCATGCCCATAACACCTTTGAACCGCAAGCAAGTGACCCTGCCACCCAGGTGCTCCCGAGCTGGGCTCCTTCTCACTGATCGATCCCCACACCTTTGCCGACACTTGGCTCACCTTTTAATTTTCTGATATTTCACCAGATGGTGGTACAAGATTGTTTCTTCGTGGACAGTTTGTATGTATTTGATGATTGTTTTCAGATTTGAATTGGCCATTTTAACCTGGGGCTTGTCTTTGGCKTGTGGGTAGAGCCCTTTCTCCTGGCGCCCTGGAACCCTGGGTCTGAGATGTGGCAGGTGTGCCCTCCTGCTCATCGTCTTGGTTAGCACAGAGCTTCTGCTTAGTGTAAATTCAGTTAGGTCGATTGGCCGTTTTCTTGCCAGTCCTCACTTTGGTGCCTTCCTGACCCACTTCAAGACCGCAGATGTTCATCCTACCACTTCAATCTTCAGACACAGGACGCACGCGCTGGCAGCCCTGCCGCTGGGTTCTCAGGGCTGGGAACTTCTGTGAGACCATCAGGCGACTCCCCTGAAGCTCCAACTTCCTGGGCGGCTGGGAGGGCTCCCCACCTACCGCCGAGGGCTGGCATCTTGGTTCCATGCCTTCCCCTGCTGCCCTCAGCTTCCTCTCACAGGGCTGATTGGGCCCCTGGCCCAGAGGGAGAAGCCGGGAGGCTCTGGACAGCCAGAGTCCTGGCCATGGGTGCTCAGGGTTATCAGGGAGGAGCCAGGGCCTGAAGCGCCCACCCCCTTGGTTGTAACCTCACTCTCCCAGGCTGCCAAGTGGGCACAGTCTTCCCGCCTGGCGGAGTGGGTGTGAGGATGAAATGGGATCCCAGAGAGCAAGGTGCCCAGTGATGTGTCTGAGACCGTAGGACGTGCAGAAGGGTCTCCTTCAAAAGAGATAAACCATGGGCCCTAGAAGGAGTCCAGGCTTTCTACAGAGGATGGCCAAAGAGTTCTGGGAGGCTTGGGAGGGTTCACAAGGCAGGCCCAGGCTGTGCTGTCCCTCCAGGAAGATTTGCTCATGTCTCCTTTCAGGAGTCATGGTGCCCGCCCTCTTGCCAGTCCAGTTCTGAGCTAGTGAACTTGGAATGAGCTGTCTCTCTCCCTCCCAGGCTTCTGCCCCAGCCTTTCCCGGCTTGAGTGTCCTGTCCCTGCTCTGCCTGGCTCTCTTGCTGGGCCTTGTTCTGCTTGGTTCAGTCCTGCCTCCCTCAGGAAGCACCTGGCCAGCCTCCTAGGCCCTGTCCCAGGCTGGCAAGGGCTGACCTCAGGTTTCCCTTTCACGGCGGCCGCCCATAAGCTCTGGTCTCTGGGGAGCTGGGGAGAAGTCCAGAGTTGGCTGTGAAGGTGACCTCCTGGCAAGGATCCCAGGACCCATTCACCAGCCACGGGTGAGTCAGTGGACAGAGGAGGAAGCTGAGACTTGGGCAGGGTCAGGGGTACCTTCCTCCTGGAGCTGTGCAGGTGCTGTGAGGTAATCCCAGATGTGCTTGGCTGGGGACTTCTGTGGCAATGGAGTTACTGACATCATGCACACAGGCCTTCGGGTTTCCTGGTCCTGTACCATGCCTGCTCCTGCCCTGGGAGGAACCCTGTGTGTAACTGCAGCATCTCTTTTGAGAAGAGGCTGCAGAGTGGGGATTAGGGAGGATGGTGACCTGTGCAGGCCACACAGCCCGGAGACCACAGAAGCTGGGTGGTTGCTCGGGCCGAGTCTTGTCCTGTCCATCTGGCTGATGCAGGCTGTGCCAAGCTCTTAGAGGTCAATAGATATTCAATTAAGATCCTAATCTCAGAGTCAGGTCCTAGGAAATCATAAAGAGTGTGCTCCAGGTGCTCTGTGAATGGGGCCAAAGTCCATGCCCAGCTCCTGCCTGGGATGGGGACATCTTCCCTAGGGCACAGCATCCTAGAAAATAGGCCTCCGTGGAAACCCAAGAATCCCATCTCCCAGGCCCCAGGCAGAACAGAGTCAGCAAGACTGGTCTCATTAGAGACCAAGCCAGGCGTGGCTGGTGGAACAAAAAGGAGGCTTTTTTATTTTCCCCTAAACAAATAGCTTTGTAATTTTTTTAAAAAAGGTTGTCAAAGCAGACTGCACACAGTTAAAAAATATTCAAATAATCCAAGACAAACAGAAGAGGGAAACCAGGAAGTAGAACTCTTGGCAATTGTTGGATTCTTGTGGGAAAGGTCTGGCTGGCTTCTCTCAGCCACAGGTGGGAAGTCGGGAGCAGAGCTGGCCAAGCCATGAGGGGAGCCCTGGGCTCTGGTTGCCCAGCCACAGAGAGGCTGGCCTCCTGGGGTGGGGTGCGGGCTGCTGAGTCTCACCCCCCTCTGCCTGGAGGCTCCGAGATGGCAGAAGGAAGGGAGGAGTCGCCCTGTGAGGGGCTCTGAGGCTCAGCTTCAGTGACAGGGCCTCCTCTGGTAGTGGCTCCCAGCAGCACACGAGAGCAGAGAAGCCCCTGTCCTGGAAGGGGGGCCTTGGGCCTGCCTGGGCTGGGAGGCCCCAGGACACAGACCCCCAGCAGCCAAGTGGAAGGTCCCCAAGGGCTACTGTGGGCCCTGTGTGGCCGGTGATGCCCCTCCCTGTGAAAGCCTCTGGCCTACTCAGCGCCCCAGTCTCTGGCCCCTGCCCTTCTGCCGCTCAGGGGGAGTCCCCACCCTCTTTCCAATCCCAGCTTCTGTGCCACTGCTCTCTGCTGAGGTTCTTGGTCATCGGTTGCAGAGCTGGGATGGAAGCTAGGGCCTCTCTGGCTTCCCGAGAGTTCTGCTCCTGAGCCATCCCGGCCCCCGCCCCTGTAGAATTCCTGTTCGTTATTCTTCCTCTAGGGAATTCCTGTGCCAACTTAGGTCTCAACCTGAATGTTCTTTGCAAAGAAACACACTCTAACAACACACACACACACACACACACACACGCACACACACATGCACAAACACGTGCGCGCGCGCATGCACACACACACACACCTGCCACCCCTCCCTTTAAGCTTCTTCTCCCTGCTCCTCCCCCAGCATGCCTGGCCCTTTCCCTTTGTCCCAGTTCTCCGCTAGGCCATGGGGCAGTTGCCTTGGGGACCTTACTTCCTCACTCAATTCTGAGGCTTCCTCCAAGGTGCCTGGCACACAGGGCTCCTCAGGGCTTGAGGGACACCATGAGATAAGAGGCCACTTCACACAGCCTTTGCTGTCTCCAGCCCCATGCCACCCGAATCGCTGCCTGGGTTTCCCTCCCACCGGTGGTGGCGGGTTGGTGTCTGCTGAAGGATCCTGTCCTTGTTCTAGGTGAGGGAGGGCTGCAGAAGTTCTCTTTCATCAGGGCATCGATCCCATGCATGAGGCTCCACCCTGTGACCTCATTGCCTCCCCAGCCCCACCTCCAAGTCCCCTCACACCTCGGTGAGAGTTCCCACGTGAATTTGTGTGTCTGTGGCCACGACCATTCCCACCAGGGCTTGTCTGCCCTTTGCCTTTTAACGTGGGGTGGTTTTCTTCTCCTTTGTCTTGATCTTCTTTGTCTCATGCACACTTGGAATGTTTGTGTATCTCAGGAGCCCGGAAAGGGAAGTCACTTGCCTGAGGTTGTCCCACGGTTAGGCACGGGGTCAGGACTCTCACCTGGCACCTGCAGCAGGGCCTGGCTGCTGTGGCCGGGCCAGCCTGAGCCTCTGTGTGACAGGAGGCCACGGCCCTCCTCTGGCTGCTGTGCCTGCCTCCCTGCAGCTGCCGGCCATGGGCCTCTTTGTCTCCTTCCTTCTGGCCTCTGTCCCTGCATGTGCTCCGTTTCCGCCTGGCTTATCTTGGCCCCATGTTCCTTCTTTAATTTTTAACAGCTTTATTGAGGGATAATGAACATGCCTCACAATCCACTCATTTAAAGGCACGGTCGGTGGTTTTGAGAAAGTTACGTAACCTACTGTGACGTTCTCCACCATCAGGACCTTCTGTGACCTCAGGCCAATCCCACCCCTGCTGCCCGAATTCTCCAGGGGGAGGCTTCAGCTGCAGCACCCAGCACACCGCGTGTCCCTGTGTCAGCGCTCCTGGCTGGGACACACTAGGTGCCCCTCACGAGCTGAGCCCTCATCTCCTTGTCACATCCCTCCCATGTCCGTCAACAGCCGGATGCTCAGACCTTTGTCACATATTTGTCACTGGGATGAAAAGCAGGTTTAGCGAGTGGCCCGTGAGGAGGCAGGGTAAGGTGCTCCTGAAGGTACTTTGGACCACTTTCCTCATTTTCTCTGTGRCTCTGGGTCCCCAGAGAGCCTCC